GCAGCAGGGCAGGCAGAAATGAGTGAAACGTAAGTGTGACGGACGTCATTTAAACGACGTAATAACTCACGAATTCGAGACGAGTAACGGCGGTCGATAACAAACGCGACTCGATTCACTCGGTGCAGCTCGAATTTACACGCGTACGGCGAATTATTAGCGTATCGATCGAATCGGTTGGCACGTCCCACATGTGCTCGTTCTTTCGTAAAAGTCGCTAATGGCGTTATAACGGACATTTCATTCATGTGAACGAGAAAAGTGCATGTTTATCCTATATATACACGGGTCTATTTAAATCTACATTTGCTTATCGCTGTATATATACTGGTGTAGGTTTTAATATGAAATAGCAATTTAAATATTTATTCTAAATTTGTTTCTTTCTCTCTCTCTCTCTCTCTCTCTCTCTCTTGTTGATATTTTAAAGAGACTAAAACGTTTATCTTTGTTTCGCGTGACGATACTCCACAGCTGTCAGCTGAGTGCGTGTTAACCTTAAATTCGGAAAGTTTCTGATATTGATACATATATGTCAATAATTAAAGAATTGAAAATTTGGATATTAATATAACAATGATGTATAAATATATACAATACTATAAAAAATAATTTGGTTCTTTCTGTAAAGCTGAATAATAAGTATGTGTACCTCAGTTAAAGATATAAAATTTATTCAATAAAACGAGATATTAAAATAATAATCGATTTTGCAAGTATATATTGCTCTCGACGCGCGATTAGAACACTTCAATAAATTATATAGGAACTACATAATGCAATAGAAACTTGTTTATTACAAGTAGGCAAATAAAAAATTCTTGCCCATTGTCTTTTAGATATATATATTATTGTCAGGTTACAGGTTAACGCATTCAATATGATTAGCTGGCACACATACTATTGTAAACTGATTGAATTGTAAATTATGAACGATTCTGGTTAATGTGTATATGATGAAATTCAAACATCACTATATATGATCGAGCATATTACGCATACTCGTGAATTTGCTGCATATGCGTTTATTGTCAAACGACACGCAGAAAAATTTTGCACGTTCGCTATTTTTAAAACGATTCGAAAATGTATCCACGCCAATTACAGTTACGACACGATTAATTCCTATTTAGATGAGCGCGAATTAAATTCTCAATTAGCGAATCCAATACTTATAATTTATAAAATTATAATTCTATTGCATCAAAGATCAAACTAATCGGAATAGAATGACGATGTTAATAAAGTACACAAATTGAATCATATAAAAAGATTTTGTAACTTTATTTGACGCTTCAAATCAATCGATGACTTATTTTCGGATATTTTTCAATTATATTTTATTTTAGTAATCATATGATAAATTAGGCATTTATAAGTTTTATTGTTTTGAAAAATCAATAATTATAATTATAATCAAATAATAATATATTATAATCAAATTATATTATAATTATTAATAATTATTAATTATAATCAAATAATATTATATTAAATTCTTTGATATCGATAACTGCTATAAGTAAACCCGTGCAATGCTGTTTTATTTTACAATTAACGTTTCTTTATCGCAAGGTGCAATCTTGTCGATAAAGAGACATATGTTAATTAAAGCATATATAAGAATTAAACATAATACATAATATACAGTGGGATGTTTTTGATAAAAACAGTGTCATAAACGTAAATCATTTCCAAAATTTGACTTTACTAAAGATAATATTTAGCGTCTTTAATATTTTATTTATTATATATTTTTTTTTTTAATGTATTTTTGGGCGCTTATCGAGAAATCTCTGGCTAATAATGCAGGCACGTCACTGATTTGCGGATAATTAAATAAATTTGACGAATGCATTTATAGAATTATGGAAGACATGATGGCTGTAAATGGGGTGAAAGAAGTGAACGGCAGCGCGGACAGGATCTACTACGAATTGGACGGCGAAGGCGACGCCGATAGCTCGACAACTCCGAGTCACAACGTGGATCATCGCGATCGTAAGTGTCATATCGATTTTTATCTCATAATATTTCTCATTTTCTTTCTTTTTTTTTGTCTCTCACTTGTTAGTTCTAATCACTTAGCAGTGCGATAAGAACGAGACATTACGTAATCATATGAGACAGTCATATGCAAAAATTATGAGACAAGATAATAAGATTCTATGACGGACCTTTATTCGTTAAAGTTATATATAATGAAGTACAACTTTAAAACAAGTTAGTCTTTGATAAGTATACTCACATCAAAATTATTCTTTGACTTCTCGGAGATTGGTTTTGAAATCATAAGATTATCGCAAATCCGTCAATCACATTTATCCGTTGAAAAGAGAAATTATTGCACAACTTGTTTCTGTTAATGGTGATGATTCTAAGATCATAAAGATTATAAAGATATTCTTTAATTACTTTGGAGTCAATTTTTTCTTCGCGAAAAATTTTGATTAGATGTTATTTTTTTCAAAATCTCACGTTTTAAATGCGATGTAACAGTCAATCATCTTAGCTTGGATAGACTTACATCGCGAAATGAGAAATGAGGGTAAAACATTTCGTTAAACGATACATTATACTAGTCACGATTCGCGCATGGCTACAACATTTTAGCAGCACGAAAGGCGAAGTTAATTAAAGTTCGCGAAAGCAGTGAAGATCGATATGAATTATACATATATAGCAATCACGAAAATAAATGTCTCGCCGATCTTCTATCGGACTAGAATTTGCTGATACTTGTAGTGCCAGATATATAAGATTTACAAATCTGAAAAATAAATAAATATCATAAATAAAATATTAGAAATTGTGAAAAATCGTAGTTTTTGCAGGTTGGTAGAAACGAGAAATTATGAAAAATGGTTTAATAGATAGTATTAAATATATATACTTCAATTAAATATATACTTCAATATTGTGACACTATCATCATTAATCGTGAAATTTATTATTTATCTGTTCAAATAATAAATTTTTCGCATGCTGGATCTTGTATTTTATTTTTGTTTCCAAACTATTTTTAATATTGAAAAGGCCTAATTGAATTTAAATATAGATTTACGTTCTGTTGATTGACGCGAGCGAAGGTTTCAGAAATTGGCAGATAGCCTAAGAGCTTCTCTCTACAGACGGCCGATAATATTTTGGCCGTCGTCACAATGGTGCCGTCGGTGCTCGTCTCGTCAGTACGAAGCAAGACTTTCAGAATAGAGGCAACACAACGTGCAGATTAACTACGTAGAAATAGTCCGCTATTCGACGGTATCCGGAGTTTCGCGATATCCCTCATTGAATTTACGTAGTCGTAAATCCTGAAAGTGGCATTATACGTGAAATTTGGAAAATTCTGAAAATACAGATTCTGTAATGATTGTACAGTCAATTCAACAGTCAGCGATAATCGTGATTCTTAAAAGTGGTGTACGTGAAATCTGAAAAATTCCGTGAGAAGAATTGCCGCAGCCAATTCGAAGACTGGCAACAAATGGCTAGCAAAAGCTCCATTCACTAAAATCTCGTGAAATTTGCAATTTTGATTTAATTTAATCTCTTTAATCTCTCTTAGGTAAGACATAAATAATTTCCGCGACGCGGATAACAAATACTTATTTTTTTTTCTGAACAAGAAATGACTCAACACTTTGTTAATGACTTTAAACAATGCAATTTTTTCTAAATGATTAAAATATTAGTTATGATTGACATAAGTCGAAATTAAAAAAATTCAAATAAAAATAATTTCTAATTTAATTTAATAATTTCTTGACGAATTATTTCTAAATCTTTTTTTATATTTATTTATTAAATTTATTAAATTGTTACATTATATATTGAAATGCGAAATTTTAGTTTAGTCGCTTTTTGAGTAAATATTTACTCTGTTTGTATTTTATTCAGCATCAAATATTAGCGAACATATTCGTGCTTCATGATTATCCCAGTTGAATAATTCGCGATCATGTTATGCACTTTAAAATTTACGCGTTTTAAAATTGCTCCAGCGTTACCTTATTTTCCGTTCGCTTTCATGACCTTCGCACATGTTGGCATAAGACTTGACGAGCACAACGATTAGCGCGTTATTTAACGCGATGTCTTCGGCGTAGCTGAAAACGCACGACGACATTGCAATATTAAAAGTTACTTTATCCGTATCGAGTTCGCATTTCCTTGTCGTTAGTAGTTGAAATTTTTTTTGAGGTCATAGAATATCGCGATATCGGAGAAAATTTATTTGTAGCATTTTGGAGAATCTCTCGAAGATTTTTGATTATTAGGAGGGGAAACAAGCTCATTGGTCGAATAAATCTTCTGTCTAAATCATCTCGACCCTAGTGCAACTTACGCTGCATCGAAAATCGCGTGATTCGGAGCGACCTCGGAGGAGAAATGTCAATCAGGGGTGTGACCACTTCGGAGAACGAGGCGTTCCTTGGTTCCTTGCGTCTACCGAATTTTCTGATCGATCCGGATGAAGGTAAAAGCGGGCGCGAGGGCTCGGATTCTGCTGCAACGATATTAACCGCTTGATGTTGGAATCGAATTGGCAAAACGCATTTATGTCAATTCCATTTTATTACGAAACTGTCTCAGATAGCGACATTTCTCCGTCGTGCAGTTTGTATAACGTATGTGAATAACAGTGATGACGAATTTATGTCCCTTGTCGAATTATTAGCGTTTCTTATCTTGTCAATAACACAACTAACGGCTGCTGTATCTACCTTGTCTTAATTGCGAAACAATTTATTATCAGATTATTGCTGTGTGTTTACTTGTAAGATGTGCATGTTTCTATAGATAGATAGACGCATAACTGCGTCTTCTCGGAATTTTCCGACATGATTCATGCATACCTTCTTAAAGCGTATCTAAAGCTCCTTGTTAAAACTGTAAATTACCCGAGACAAACACTCGTCAATGGTAAACAAAACAGCTCACTAGAAAACATTAAAATAGCACTTCCTTCTCGATTTACGAGCATAAAGTATTATTTTATTGATTATTAGGCAATTTTGTCTACATTGTTTGGCGGAATTATTTCATCCAAATTATCACAATACGAGTTTTTAAATAACATAATTCTTTCAAAAATTTCGAGTACTTTCTATATATCGCTTACAATTAGACCTGAGACATATATAGTGGTATTTACCTGATGTTGCGCAATTTCAATGCGGGCGAACAGTCCTTTGACAGTTCAAAATAACATTTAAAATAATCGAATTAATTATTTTAGGAATTTCAAAAGTTCTTATTTATTCAGATTATAAAATATAAATAAATTATAAAACTAACTTTTATTTATAATTTTTATAAAAAAGTCTATAATTAGTAAGTACCATATTAGACACAATCTTAAATTATCAATCAAAAATTATATATAATTATAAAACTTTTCAAGAGAGTTATTTTATTTTTGAGACTTTATGCGAAATCATAGAATTTAAATACTTTAATCAGAATTTCGTTTATTGCCTAGAAGTTCTGATAATATTATATAAGAAATATATATATATTGGGTGTCTAAAGTCACGCAATCAAATATTCACGATACCTCTTTATCGATATATATCATTAAATTGTATGTTGAAAGCGAATTTCACAAATCATGGACTGAATCATGTACTGAACCCTTTAACTCCAAGATGTTATATGCGCGTCTACTGCAGTAAACTTTGGCAAGGATGATCTTTCCTGGCCTGAGCATTAACGTCGTACCAATAGGTATCGAAAATACCGACGCCGGTTTATTTTTGTTCCGCAATATATTTATATAGCACATTCTCATACGAGTCTCCCATGCTCAGACGAGGACGAGGAAGTGCCGGCGTTCTCGATGAGAAAGATTGAAACGAGCTTCGTAGAGATCCACGGTAACTGTGCCAAGAGATGGTATTGATCCTTTCCGTGACTACGTCTAACCACTATGCCACTTTTCTTGGCGCGCGCAAACCCCGTACTGCTGCCAGAAATTGAATCACGCAAATTCACGCGATTCTAAATAGACATGACCGTAGGATTCGATCGCGTTCTTCGACGCCTTGAGGAAATTTCCACTGCCTACTTATTGTCAGAACCGATTGCGCCATAATGTCGTTTATTGTTTGGGGGTTAATTTCAGTTAAGACATCAAATATAGAAGTTATAATCGGTAGATAGTTATCAAAAATGCTTTTCTTGAAATATTAATTAAATTTCTACGTTGTACATTAAAATTTTTTCTTAATGATTTAACAAATTATGTTAAAAATATTTATTTATTTTGCCTTTATATATGTATGTGTATAATGATAAATTTTTACAAAAATTATACGTTTATATCTTTCTACAAATACGTGTCTTATATAACTATTTATTACTTTCCCGATTTTCTTGTCATAAATTATACAATCGTATATTTTATTGAGTTTTAAGTATGAATTTGATTCTTCAAAAAATTTTTAATTTAAATAATTTAGGAAATTTAACATTCGAGAAAATTAGTTCCAAGGATGTAAAAAGATGCAAATTGAGAAAAAGAATTATATAAAATAGAACTATGTTCACGCAAATTTTCATTAAAAAAAAATCTGCACAACAATTGAAATACTTATTAAAAGAAAATAAGCGTGTTCTAAGAGTCTTTTTAAATCGTAACTTAAGTATATTTATCGAACTTCTTTTTTATTTGTTTTTATATGAATCTGAACAGGCGCACATTTTTAGCGCTGAACTTGCACGGACCTATTAATACAACTAGCGCTGCAAAGTTGGTTTCAATCCTGATCGTTGTAGAAACGTTCTGAATTTTTTAACGCCGAGTTTTCAAAGTCTCGCTATAATTAGTCCGTGTGTAGCGTAAACATTTGTTAGGAACGTATCTCGTTACGTGTGATAAAATCGACCGATAATCATTATCTTGCTGTGTGCGATAACGAGAGAGAATCGCGGGTTTTTATAGAATGACAAGTTTTACTTACTTTTTTCGTTGCTTTACTTTACACAAATGAGTCACA